ACATGAAATGGTCTGTCCTGATCTGCAATCGCCAAGATCGGCGATTGCATCAAGCTCTGCTTGATACCTTCAAAGGAACGCTGGCACTCAGCGTTCCATGACCACTTGACATTTTTCTTGAGCAAGCAAGAAAGATGAACAGTCATCTCGGCGTAGTTGCGCGAGTACTTGTGCAAGTACGCCGCTAGCACAAGGAACTTCCTTAGTCCCTTGACATCGACTGGCACTGGCCAGTCGGTGATCGCCTTGATCTTTTCGGGATCAGGGCGTACGCCGTGTTTACCCACGATGCACCCAAGAAGTGGTATTTCGCTAGCCGCGAATATACACTTCTTGAGGTTGGCGTACAACTTATGCTTGCGCATAAGTTGAAGGACCTGACGAACGTGAGTTCTGTGAACTTCAACGTCCGTCTTTCCGTCCATAGCCCGACTATGGACGAGCACATCGTCGAAGTAACTCGGTGCGAAGTCTCGCACCGGTCTCAACAGATTTGTGACACATCTGTTGAATGTTGCAGGGGCATTGCTCAGCCCCTGTGGCATAACTAGCCACTCCCACAGCATCCCGCTGGGGGTACTCACTGCCGTGAACGGGATGTCCCGTTCACGCATGAGGATCTGATAGAACCCATCCATCAGATCCATGGACGAAAAGATGGTACTCTTTGACATACCATCTATGATTACGTCCTTCCTCGGTATCGGCGTATGAGCCGGTACCGTTGCAGCATTCAATTTGTTGAATGCGTGCACTATCCGCCATCCTCCTGTGGCCTTTCGCACACAGAAGGTCGGAGAGCTGTGAGGGGATGTTGATTCCCTCACGTGACCCGCTGCTAAGCGATCGGCAAAGAACTTGTCGATCGCTAGTACTTGTTCACGAGGCAGTGGCCACTGCTTCATGACACAGTACTTCGAGCCCGGTCTGAGCTCGATCTCGTGTCGAGTGCCTTTGTCCTTAGGCAACTCGCAAGGTACGGATTCAGGGAACACGTCCTTGAATTCGATCAAATCCTCGTACAAAGGATTTGCCTGAAGTGACTCCGAGGATTGAGACGTGTATCGCTCAATCCGAGTCTTCTCATCGAGGACACTTTCGTCCATCGATGAGCTGCTGAGAACCCGTTCGTTCTCAGCAAATACTGTTGCCGACCAAATATCGGCCACATACTCATCCTCTGTGACGAGTATGCAGATCTGCTTGACTTTGCCACTACGCAGATCACGCAAGAACCGTTTCGGCTCTAGCGTTGGCAACTGAGTTATCTCCGAAGTTAACTTCGGAGGCACAATCAGATCAAGCGTATAAGCGCCTACGCTTGATCCGTCATTAACCAAGACGTTCAACGTCTCGGTTACTTCCTGGGAACTTGCTTTCCACAGGTTGCTGAAGGCCTAATCCTTCAGCAAGTGACTCTTGAGGAATTCCTTCCTCAAGTACGTGGGGACTTATTCCCTCGACGTCTTCCGACTGTGGCTGTGCAACCACAGTCAGGGACCGATCCTCTACGGTCGACTCTCCAGTCGACCTAGGATTTCCGTGTTGCCCCTTATGGGCAACCGGTTTTCTCTTGCTAGGATGTCGCCCGCTAGGCGAGCATCCACATCCCGGTCCACTCGACTTATTCGAGTGGTGGACCTTCGGCGCCGCCTGTACTTCTGTAAAGCCGCCGGGAGCTTGCTCCACAGTGTAGTGATCAACTACACTGTGATCTTGTGCGGTCTTGCGAACGAACGAACCGCAAGTGAGGCCATCGCACTCACTCGCAGAACATCCACACGCTTGTGGACGCTCCAAGATGTTCATCAGATGGCCATCTGATGAACAAGCGGCAGGCATCTTCACGGATCGATGCTGCCAGCTCACCCTTGGCTCGTACTTTCTGAGCCAAGGTAATCCCAGGATGACATCAAATTTGTCATCCAGATCTAGTACGATGAAGTCATCATCGTACTGTTCGCCCTCTAACGTGTAGTGGATTCCTACTACACGTTTCTCAACGGTTATCGATGCGCCTGTTGCAAGGCGCACCGTCATCCTTGTGAGGGGAATGTCGCGCTCAACGAACTTGAGCCTACGACCCTCTAGTGACTGGCGACGAACAAAGTTGTTCGACGCCCCACAGTCTACTAGGGCACGAAGCGACAAATCATTTGTCGCTTCCAACTTCAAGGTGATGAGCGAAACGTCATCACCAGGTGCAGAGACACACAATGATTGTGTATCTGGACCAACTTTTTTCGAGAGAGATTTGCGAATTCTCTTGAGGTTGCTGGATCATTAGGGCGCTCCGCCCCTACTGACCCCGACCATTTTCTGATGGTCCGTTTCGCTGTTGCGGATTCGCAACAGCGCTGGACCCACGCCCATTGCCCTTTCTGGCGAATGGTCGTCCATTTCGCTCAGTACTGTTCGGTACTGGGCGTGGAGCACTACACTCATATGCGTAGTGCCCTAACTTCTGACAGCGATTGCACTTCTGCAATCGCTTGTTGTTTGTAGAGCGAGGTCTCTCGCTCTCAACATAGCAGAGGTCCATTGGTTCTGGACCTCCGATCTCTTGTCGTCTCGGTGGACGATAAGAGTTTGAGCTAGCATGATCCTGTCTCATGCTAAAGGCTTCCTGTTCCGCGGCTGATATCGCATCTTACAGCGTATTTAGCTCAAGGCGGAACAGGTGGCTCCTGACGGGCCCTTCTGCGAGCCCTTGCATGAACACCGTAATCAACGTGTGTTCATGAACTGGGTTGGCAGTTATACTACTCGCAAGGAGTCGTATATGTTGTGCGTAAGCGTGCACATCACGCTTACCCTGCTTGAGTTTCAGGAGCTCAGAACGAGCCCTGAACTCAGCTCGTGGCGGCTCAAACGTTTGTCTGAGCCGGGACTTGAAGTCATCTAGCGACCTAAACACATGTGGGTCGCTACTCTCGAGTCCCAGGGACCAAGTTTTGGCACGCCCTGCCAAGTGGGTCTGAGCAAATGTGAGTTTCATTTGCTCATCTTCGACGCGACGAGCCCTTAAGGCTCTGTCGAGTTCGACAAACCACAGTAACAGGGAGTCCTCCGGGACTCCACTGTACTTGGAAATGTCGACTTTCATGACTTCGGGACGACGCGCATGCGCCGTCCCGCCCACAGCAGCATGGAATTGCTGCTGTCTCAACATCTCCGTCTGTTGAGCACCGAGTTCTCTCAACTGCTCGGCCTGTTGAGAGCCTTGCTGGTGAAGCAAGGCTACTTTCTCCCTTTCGGCGAGCAAGTTCACTTCTGGATGAACTTGGCGATAGCGGCATGTTGTTGGTCTCTGTCTAGAGACTCCAACATGGTGCTGACGGCGAGTTCGCCTACGGTAGAACTCATTCGTTCTACCGCACCCCATTCGATGTCACTCAAATGGTTAAACCCTTCACGCGTGGCGTGAAAGGTGTCTTCTTCATCCAACATGTTCATGTTGGATGATGTGGTCCTTGGAAGGACTACGAAGTGCTACCAGGTGTAACGGGGCACACCCTTGCGTAACTTAACGCAAGGGTTTTGAGTGCCCCGACAGACGTACACGTGGCAAGCGAGGAAGCGTAGGTAGGGTAAAAGTAGAACTGTTATATTAATATAATTAAGTCTTTAAACTACTGTCTCTTCGTTTGACTTAATTCAATTATACTAATATAACTGCATGTATGGTGACGTCTCGTCACCACTCATTGCGCGCGTCTTGCGGCGATTGGTGGGTTGATATCATCACGATATCAACCAATGAACAGACCCTTTGGTCGACCCATCAATATCACCACTATTGGTGATATTGTTTTAAAGAATATCCATCTTTATATTCTTTATTGTCACTTTCCTTAAAGTGACAATTTCATGTAACGGGCTGCCCCGTTACAAAAGTCATCAACCATGTGATTTTGCTGCGGGTAAGGTAGCACGCGCAATAGCGATACGACTCCCCTATCGAAAAGCCATGAAGTCACGCTATATAGGCAATATGAACACGTATCTCACACCGTACTCCGAAGTTGATCGTGAAGGAGATGCTTATGCATGAGTTACTGACCACTCTCCTTACTTGGCGACAGACGAAGCTCACCCGAATTTTCCTTCTCGTTCCGTAATATATATTGCGTTGGTTGCATCTCACCGCTGTTGTTGCTGTTGTTGTTGTTGAAATTGAGGTATATTGGAGCGACCAGCAATACCCTGTTCAGGTGGAGTCAATAATCTGGCGTCACGGCCTTCAGCATCCTACAATGCGACCGCACGAACCGCATGCCATCAGGCTATGCTTAAACGATCTGCCGAGGTCCATCGCGGGCGGTCTGCGGGCGGCAGGAGTTCTGTCCCACTTCGACGGAAAGTGATGTCTCGAGCCAATAGTTGACATTCTCAGAGCTGGTGTTGTTGAACCGGCAAGATCAGCTGTCGTTTATATTCATTCTTGTCACTAGCGGGAGCACGTCAACAACACAAATACAGTCAAGACATCACACGGCAGACATGACATCACTGCAGACAGTCCCTCTCATCTCGTACAACATGAGTGCGAAAATAAAAACAACTAGATCGGTTCGCTGGACTGGACTTCGTAGATGATAGGGCAAGCATTAGGGCTTGCCCTTCATCTTACCTTTCAACGTCATATGGACAACTGCCTCTCTACTACTCGATTGTTGAAGCTATCATTCGCTATACACTACCATCGTCACGTGACAGCCAAATGCGTGTCAATGCCATACAACAGGCCCACCCCATTCCATCACTAGTCTCTACGAGGACGTCGTCCACATACGAGCAACATTAGAAAATGTCGTCCGTTACAAATTCTCCTGCAAAGGTCGGACGGCATCGTATCCCTCTAGCAATCCATAACCCGCACAAGCAGATGCAGAAAGAGCAGCGTATCACTGACTTTTATTCTCTCCGCTTATTATCCAATCAACAGCGTCGCACGATTCTCAGGCCGCACGCGCTCGCGTCGTGTCCGTCGTCGCGATATGCCTGCGGTGTGCGAGGGCCTCGTGGCCAAACTGGACGAGCTCATGGACTTTCTACGCTTTGCTAAGCTACCGAGTGGCCACTTCCGCGGCGTCGTACGTACTGTTCTGCCGTATGGCCTCTGGTTTGCTCGTTTGACTTGCGTTTTGTGCCGTGTTGTAGGTGACGTTCCAGTTCCGAAGCTCTGCTGAAGCGACCAGTGCGTTTGCCTGTGTGCGGACCATTGATATGCGTCGAGGTATGTTTGAAGTGCATTGCGAAAGTAGTACTACTGCTGTGTGTAGAGGAGCCAGAGGTGCAACTGTGGCATACAATGCTGCGTGATGATTATTCACACTTGTGCATGCGTGCGTGTGTGGGTGTGTCTTCTTTGTGTGCGTGTCGATGCAGGCTTAGAGGTGGACAACACGACGTTGCACCCTCAAGATCCTTTCGTGCCAGAAGTGGCGGTCGTTCACGTGAGTCTCGCCGATTTCTTGTTCATGTACTCGGGCGACGCAACAGCGACGGAGATTGCTGGGATGGTCATGTCGGGCCGCGTGTCGGTGCCTTGGAGCTCGTACGGCAAGTTGAGAGCGTTTGCCGAGTGTTTTGACTTTTCCTCGGAGAAGTGGGACGCCTATTACGCAGACTTGAAGACGCGTGGGCTGGAGGTCGAGACGCGGCAGTGCTCGCAGTCGTGCTGCAAGCAGAGCACGAAGGAAGACATTGAGGCCGATTGGCTGCTGGTGTCCGACGCGACGACGACGAGCGGAGGCGGGGACTGGGAGCTGGTGTCTGGTCTGCAGTGCCTGAATATGCCCCCGAAGCGAAAGCTTGAGGCGATGGACAAGGCGTACGCGTTTACGTCGTTGGAGGAATGGTTGGCCAAGTTGTGGAGCGGCTGCGGTGCTGGGTTGGGCGCCTCGCGTCCGGCTCAGTCACTCGCTTCGAATGTCCGGGGTGCTGGGTTGGGCGCCTCGCGTCCGGCTCAGTCACTCGCTTCGAATGTCCGGCATTCGATGAGCGATTTCAAATCGATGGCTGGGAAGCTCTTTGTGTCGCTAGAAGCGTAGCAGGTATGAATCAAATGTGCACTGGGCCACGTGGTAGCTTGTTGGTTCTCAGGAGCAGCAGAGCTTCAAGGAGTGGTTGTTGTGATCCAGCGCTCATCCAGGCTGCCGGAATTTGTAGTAATCGACCGACGGCTGTCGTCCGCATGCTCATGTGCGGCGGTCCACAGCGTTCGTGCACTTGTGTCGGGCGAACTGGGATTCGGTGCGCACATCCTGATTCGAGTATCCTCAGCCGGCTCAGTGTATAGTCTTTTCAGACGAGACTGAATCTTTCGTGGCCGCTGCTCGATCGATAGTACGTACTATGAGGGCTGATCTCCCCGTCTTTGTGCCATTGGAGCCGATCCTTGGGCGTAATCAACCGGCGCTACGAATCTGCAAGTGCGCACGGCTCTTTGCGTCGATTTGATGATGCCGCACCTTCCAAGATATGTACTGAGGTAGCGATCGATGCTTGGATAGGCGTCGATCCAAATTCAACGATCTTGGTCCCACCGGCTCTCTCTCGCCTACAATCGCCAAGGTATTGCTCACGGACAAACTACGTCACTTACGAACAGATGACCCTCGCGCACCTTCGCGAGCCACGCAGTAACATGAAGCAGTACCTGCGCCTCCCGTCAAGCGACTGCGCAATTGATTTCAATCAGTTCCACCGCACAGGCAGACAAGACGCACATACAGACACTGCGACGCACCGCCTCCCTCACCCGAATGCCCATTCACGACGATGAGGGGCACCGTCGATCTGACTCACTCACTCACTCACTCACTAACGCTCAGCTCACTGTTCAATTTGCCACGTTCGGCTCACCCGCGAACACCCACTACCACTACTACTACTACTACCAGTGCTACGAGTGCAAGCAACAACATGTGCAACCTCTTCCACCGACCCAACAAGAGCCACTCGCCTGGCAGCGACAAAGTCGAGATCAAAGAACGCCGCAGTAGCAGCATCTTTGCACGCCACGTGCGATGCAGCACGGGCGACGAAGTCGTCGAGTTCATGCGGCCCCGGGACACAGTCGTCACGCGCGTGAGCGAAAGCTCGAGCGGTCCAATGGAAGACCGCCGTCGCCACCGTCGCCAACGACTCAGCGAAGAGGGTCTGCAAGCCTACGGACCCCCTAATGGCGTCGCGCCAGCGCTGCATCAGATCGCTGAGCGACCGGCGTCAGCGCTGTATCAGATCGCTGAGCGACCGGCGCCAGCGCTGTATCAGATCGCTGAGCGACCGATGCCACGCAAGACCCAATATGTCGAACGACCGATGCCACGCAAGACCCAATATGTCGAACGACCAGTTCCACGCAAGGACTACTACGTCGACCGACCGTGTACTCTCCGCGAGTACCAATCGGCGGGGCGCGTGCACCTCCGCGAGCGTCCGTGTGCGCAAGGCCGGATGCCTCCACGTGAGCACCAGTCGATGGGAGGACGCATGTACCCGCAAGAACATCCGTCGAGGGCGGGCCGCATGTACCCACAGGAGTACCAATGTGTTGGAGGCCGCCTGTACCCCCGCGAGCAGCGGAGACTAGTGTGCTAAGTCGTGTATGTCGTTCAATCTAAGTCACATTGACGTGTTTCCAATCCTTCACACCTCAGTCATTGTTTACATTATTGCTGTCTTTGTTGTTGCCTTGTTGGTATTGAACTAGTGGTAGCTGAGGGGGAAGTTGGGTATGGTGGCAATGTGCTGTTGTCGTACGGTGCGAAGGACTGGGGGGTATCGATCGACGTGGTGGTTATTACCAATATGCAGCGACAGGTTTCTGAGGCCGTACTTGGCTGGTTTGTGCTCTCCGCTTGGTATGTGATTCACGACAGGCGTGGGGGACCAGCCGACGCGAGTGTGTAACGAATAAGACGACACGTAATCAGTGGTTGAGATGTACTTGTGCGGGGACTCTGCGTCGATTGCAGTCGTACTAACGAGAGCAGATGCTCGGGCTCCGATCAATTCATTGGCGCTAGAAGAACCACGGGATCATCATCTCATACATTCGTCGTCGCCCTAAGCAGACTATATGTACATCATTATCACCGCACGCGACACAAACACTGCATTGCTGCCCTCCTCCCCCAGGCTTGTCTCCAGTCCAACTGTCGGAACGGCTTACGACGGAGCTGGCGAGCAACAGACGCGCTATTGTTTACACCACGTACGCTACAGAAGAAGATGGACGTCCTCAAATAAATGTCCGACCCTCTCAGGGCCCTCCTCAACTGCCCACTTCATCCCAGCAGCACTGGAAGATTACGTACGTATCGATCCAACCGAGTCGATTTGCTCAGCACATGCGTCAGTCATTAGTCTTTTAGTGGATGTGATACCGATCAAAACGCCGAGTCGATTCAATTGATCAGCCGCCGCTGAAGCACTTCAATCCAGGACGTGTATCTATCTCCCGAGCAACGCGTCAAAATCCGCCCACGGGATCTCTCGTACTGCCTCTCTCTCTTTATCTCTCTCGGCTCGTGCAGCAGCTGCTCTCCATCTCTCTCTCTCTCCTGCAAAAAGCACCAGCTCCTCCTCCTCCTCCTCCAAAGTATCGGTAGCGTCCTGCGCAGGCCACAGTCGGTCTACACGCGCCATCAGACGCCACGAAACGACGCAGAAGCGGCCGCTGTCCCCTTCTCAGCATCGGTTTCGAGCGAGTTCCCGACCGGCCACAGGGCAACGACATTCACCCGATCTTCGAGCGCACGTAACGAGCTGATCAAGTCGCAGGTAGACAGACAGACAGACAGGCAGACAGGCAGATCGTTGCAGTTGGATTGTCGCCGTGTCGTTGTTCTTGTCGTCGTGCGTGCGCAATCGCCGGATCGCGTGTCGCGCCGTCGCATGCGATTGTGTGTGTACCTCACGACAGAGTGTGATGACGACTATGTCGCATTCAGTTGGGCGGAGAGCGATTGACCGATCGCTCGCTCGCTCGGTAGAGACCAATCGATAGAGACGTGGCGGAGATTCCGATGGACTCGGGCGTGCACGGGGTTTACTATGTGCAAAGATCGCTCGACTCGCCCGAGTCACGTGGGACGCGCCTAGTGGCCGACCTCGTGGTCGTGTGCGTTATCTTCCGACGACGAGATCGTGGACCGTTCTGCTTCTTGACGCAATCGGTTGTGGAGAGTGTCGTGAGAAGGCACTCTTTCTGCTGTACGAAGAAGAAGCGGTGCTGCATCGTCTCAGTGGCGGGCAATGGCCTTTCATCGGACACTATGAGGAAAGCGTCCGCGACGTAACGAACAGTGTCGCAGTCGTTGAACGATCGAGAGAGAGAGCTCTGTCAGTAGGTCTCCTGTAGGACATGAGCGCGCACGCACAAAGTGGTGCTGCAATGGCCGGCGGTCGGTTGGCCATCCAGGTCGTGTGTGCAGCCATGTGACGGACGTAAGTACGTCTGCTGCCATCTGCCGTGCAGCAGCAGTAGTAGTAGCAGCAGCAGCAGCTGTCGAGACGTACCTCACTGTTTCCTGCGTGTCGTGTTGAAGCACGTCGGAACGCTTTAGCTCTTCCGTCAGTCGCTACCTACAACACGTCGCTCACGTCGCTCACTCGCTACAGCAAAGTCGAGACGCTGCGACCGATTTTGAGCTAATCGATCGATCAATCGATCGAACGCCCACACGCGTTACTCGCGCAATCGAGCGGCGAACGGCGTTTGGTCGTCGCGCGCTCGCCGACATACCCTCGAGCTGCTGTCCCGCGTGTGTCCGCTTGAACTTGAGCTTTTGTTGCGCGGGCTTAACCACACCACAAGCTGCTGGTTGTGGCTTCGTTTGTCGTTCGTTTTCTTGTCGGGGAACATGCAGTCGGTGTCCGATAAGCGCTCGCGGGTGTGGCTGAGCGCTGGCTTTCGTCCAGACAGGAGGTGTGTGCCTAGAAGCGGCTGTGCGGGCGTCCCCGTTCATGTCGTTTTTCGGTGTGACAGTCTCCCGTCGGTGCGACAGTCTCTTGTGCTTTCCATGCCGTCGCGATCATGCGGAGGCCGTTGCTCGGTGGCCTTTCCCCCCGAGCTCGTGCACAGAGCCGCTGGCATGTGTGTGTGTCAACAGACAGGGGGAGCCTCGACCTGCCGCCTGCCATCTTCGTCTGTCCACTTGAGGTCTCGAAAAAGACCACGAGCGACATGGCTGAGCCTGGTCCGAGCTTTCTTCTGGAACAGGTCGTTTCGAGCGCTTTTTGACGGTCTCTTGCCATCGACTTTGTCGTGGAAAAGGACATGTCGGAGAGACTCAATGAACGACGGAAGAAGCGTCTGAGAAGCAGATACTATTGTTGGTGATGTTGTTTGAGCAGTTGTTGGTCTATTTGTTGGTCTATTTGTTGGTCTATTTGTTGTCATTGTTGTTGTTGTTATTGCGGTGAGACGGGTGTCTGGAGAGACCTGAGGTGAGGTGGATGGTGGTGGGTGGGTGGGTGGATGGACAGGTGGGACCCCAAGCCATCCTCTTGCAATCGGTGCGCGAGCTTATCCCTCAGGCGCTCGCAAGGCCTCTTTGCTGCTGGATGCAGCACAGATGGGAGGAAAGGCGTTTTCTCGCATCGATAGCCGCACTGAGGTGGCGGCCGCGTGCCCCTGACCAACCGGCTCGACGGCTGTGTCGACCAAGCAACAAAACGGATCGGGGAAAGAGACCTATAGCGTGTAGCGACGGTCGGACTTCTTCTTGGTGACTGCTACTACTATATTGTCACGGGTCGTGTATGACTGCAGCATGCGGTCGCCAACGTGAGGAATGAAGCGGACATGTGGCACATGGACGACCGTACCTGACCGTCGTGTGTACTACTTCCTACCCCTCCGAACCGGACAGTCTGATGCCTGAGACGTCGCCGTGGCGTCTCGAGGCGTTTGTTTTTCCAATTCCATTGTTGAAAGACTGGTCGGCGACGCCGTCGTGCACCTCTTCTTCTTCTGGTCGTCTCTTGAGCAGGGGCCGTCCTCGACGTGCAACTGCTCGCGGCCGCGATAGTGGACGTCGATGGCACGTGGATCGACTTGACTGCATGTACAGCTTTTTTCATGGCTTACGACGTTCGGAGGCTGAGAGTTTCGGTCGGTCGATCGGTCGGTGCCTGTCGTGCTGCAGCTGAGTGGGCGTTTGGACGGTAGTAGTAGTGGGTGGGAGTCATTGCAGTCGACATGTAATGAATGGGCTGTCGAGAGTGGGCACCCAAAAGTGCGGCCCACGACACGGCCGGCCGCGAGCTGATCGATATGGAGAGTAGCAAGTAGACGCGGAAGTCGGCGCAAGACTGCTACAGATGACCGCAGCTCACGCTTGCACATCTCTTAGGTAAGTCGTTAGCCTGTGGCGTTCATACCCAGCAACCGCACGGATCGCCGTTTACGCGAGTCCTTTGGTGCTGCTGCTTTCCTGCGCGTTACTTCCAGGCCGTGACACCCGCGACCGACTGGTGGTGGTCTCCGCGTAATGCACGTCATTATCACTTTGTCTATGGTGCACTTGGTCTAGTGGGCTGCGAAAATGGTCGCCAAAACCGACCACCACCAGAGCTGGCAGTATCGATCCACTCGATTAGCCTCGTTGCGTAGTGGACGCGTCGATGAAGTACGATAGGCCGGACTCGCGGTTGCATGCCATGCAGTTTGAACAGAGACGACGGTACAAGATGGACGTCAATCAGTACGCATGAAGACGCTCGCCACGACACTTGTTAGCGCCTCACTCCAATGCGGTGAGCTGTCTAGAACTATCATATCGGTTCATACTGACGTCGCTGCTCGGTCTCAGATTATTTACGCACACACCTTGCACACGTTCACAGCTTTGAGCCATTTGGTCGATAGCGTGTTCCTCTCTCGAGTGATTGCTTTTAATTACTTACGACACATGAGAAGCAAAACCGTTGCGGCGCATGATGGCATGGCGTAAAGGCTGTCGGTCCGAGAGCAATTCGACATGAAAGCGACTTCGAGGGACTATTTTGAGGACATTTAAGTGCTAATGTAACAGATCCATGCATTCTCTAAATATCGAATAAGATTTGGGACTATCTGACTTATCCCCTTTCGTCTGATGACGACATCGTTCCGCAGAACACCCATCCACTGCAGTCAGAAACTGCGCGTTTCACCGTATCTGATTCCATATGCCGACAGTGAGTTGATTCCAAAGCAAGGGGCACTCATAACGCTATCATAAAAAGAGGTACCAAATGATCCCAAATGGATTCATCGTAGGCGTTCATCTTTTTGCTCGACCCGTCATACTGGATGACCGCGCAGTTTACTCCTCGTGACCAACTAGTCCACGCCACACACCAGCTCCGTGATACCTGCTACCACATTTCGCACGCAACGATCGAGTGAAAAGTAGTCCACGTAAACCTCTAAAGCCCTCGATACAGTCGCTCATCACTCTCCTTATCGACCTCCTCGCCCCAAAGCTTATCTCGATCGGCATCACAATAAACGTAGACAAGCCATGCAAACTACTGGACCAGAAGAAGAACAAGCCGTCATCATTCTTCCAGCAGTTATACTGTAGTAGCGTGTAGTAGTAGCAATCGCAGTAGAAGCAGTAGGAATACAGTAGTCCTCTTCTACTATAATAGTACTCTACCGACTCGCGCTGGTCGAGTGCACATGCCCCAATCAAGAAGACGCACATCTCTCTCTCTCTCTCTCTCTCTCTCTCTCTCTCTCTCTCTCTCTCTCTCTCTCTCTCTCTCTCTCTCTCTCTCTCTCTCTCTCTCTCTCTCTCTCTCTCTCTCTCTCTCTCTCTCTCTCTCTCTCTCTCTCTCTCTCTCTCTCTCTCGCGAATCACTATTCGACTCCGTCTCGAGGCTTCTTCCCCCACACACACACAGGCAATAGAGAACCCCAACTGACATGTTCGACAGGAGCCACAACAACAGTAACAATATCAATCGTAACGAGGCGTACGAGTCCGCTCGATCTGATGCCGTCGAGTCCGACGTGGCGTCTCTCCAGAACTGTAACAAGTCGCTGTACGTCTGTCTCGTCTTCCTCTCGCTCTTCCTCGTGGGCGGTGGCATTGCCCTCGGCGTGACGTCCAACGCGAGCGACAGCGCGACTGCCACAGCCAAAACCGCAGCCGTACCGGTACGTCCGACACGTTTCGGCTTTTTTTCTCACTCACCTTGTTCACGTTTTGGGGTTTTAACTAAAACGTGCTTTGTTTACAACTGCTGTCAATGTCTGTAGCAAGAAGACCCTCAAGCGATAGTCAATATCAACAATAACAATAACGACTCGCCGGGGGGTTATAACTTTATAGCTCCGGTACAAACCCATCAAGAGCCGATCGAGGGAGACACAAGCAGACAAACTGGTGCTCCGCAATTGTCTGCGAACGACATTGATGCGGTGTATCCGAATGTTCAATGGGACTCGTTCCAGGACTCGACTTCGGCCGTCAATGCAATTGCTGGCAACGTGTCTCCTCCGCTGAGCTCGTTGTTGTCGCCGGGTGGGAACAGTGCGTCATGCGTCACTCTCGTTTATGTACCTGTTTTTTGCGCTGCTAACGAGCTTTTTCTCCTACTTCTTTGTCCTGTTTTTCATGCTTTTGCACTGTTCTTCTGCAGATTCGACTGCTACTGTTGCTGTTGCTCCAGGTTCTACCCCAGCTGTTGCTGCTGTGAAGCCACAGCCACTAGAAGCAGTTCAGTCTCCTTTGCAGTATTCGATAAAGGAGACGCTGAGCTACCGTGTCGTGGACTTTAACTGGACGGATGCGACCAAGTGGCAACATGCAAGTGGGGCAGCCGTGCCGAGCACGAACGATATGTTCACGAACAGCGGCATTCGACTCACGGGTGAGAACAGTAAGGAGCCTCTCCGTACGGTTGAAGGATGGAGTGGCGAGAAAGTCGTGTTCATTGAGTGGGAACGCACGAGCTCCAGCGACACGAACATCTGGATGTTAAACACCAAGTTGCAGTCGCAATTCGGTAAGGCGAATGGCTGGCCGTACTGGGGCGAGCTAGACCTGTTCGAGATGTTTACGCAGGACGTTGTCGGTAGTCCTGGCAACGACTATAGTGGACATGGAAGTTTTTCTGACGTGTCGAGTTACGGTCAATCGACACTGCACATGGGACCTGCTACTGAGAATGGCAGTCCTTGCTTTTGCCCCACCCAACCTTCCAAGAGCTTGTGGTACGGCAACGCAGAACCCATGACGTCGGGCTGCACAGCCCAGTTCTCGAATGACGTGTCAAACTCAATTGCAGCAGTGTGGGGCTCTGACACTACGGGTCAGTACATTCAGTTCATCCAACAACCGACCATTACCGAAGGTGGCAAGCTCAATGGAGTCGATACGTACGATGTTGATATTGGTAGCCGTGGTGTCACGTCCAAGATTTACAACAATGCCAAGCTCTTCTGGGGCATCGACGCTTCCGAGGCATGCGCCAAGACTGGTGGCCATGATGCGGCATCGGGTTTTCCTTTCTTCGAGAGCTTTCGTATTGTTTTGGAAGAGCAGAAGAAGAATGACAAGAGTGCATCGTTTACCGTCACGAACGTCCAGATCTTCACCAAGATCTAGTTCGTCATCTCGAGATCAAGGTTCAAATCTCTGCAGGCTGATTCACGTTCTTCTTGTCTTGTCAAGACAGCGACTTCTGATTGTAATTTGTCGATCGCCTGCATCACGACGTGAAGCCGTCAAGTCTAAATCAAGCGTCTCTCGGGTGTACGTAAGTCACTATCTGCGTCTCGCATATGCCCGACGAGTCAACTTTGACTCTGCTTTGTGTGTATCGGAGACTCACCACTGGAGTATGTGGATGAATTGACGATATATCCCGTACAACTCTGGTAGTGCTCGTTCAGTAATGCGGCCATTGACCTCGATACAACGCGTCTCACTGGAATGTCAGACCACTGGTTGTTGCCGCCATGCTCGCAGCGTGTAGCAAATCTACAGCTTATCGGCTACGTGCTCGTCATCGACTTTGTGTGTGTTTCGCCATCTGTGCAGTGATTGATTGTTGGCTCGGCAGCTATGCAGCATATCAAGTGCAACCAAAGACTTGTGGCAATGGAGAAGGATGTCGTACGCACAAAGTGTCTTCAAAGTGGTTGCCGGGTCTATACAATGCTGTATGATTAATTGACCTCGTCCGGGATTCTATCGCAAGCATGGACACAGCTTTACGCCTTTTCCTGCCTATGGCAACGTTCTTGCCGTAGCGAAACATCGCACTCCATCGCTGCTAAGTGCTCGTCAGTCTGTTGTGGTGCGTCAGGATTCGATCCTGTTATACGTCTTTGATTGCATACAGTCATTGCGCATCATGACAACAACACTAAGTCCACGCGAGTTCCAGCTCCCCATCACGACCGAGAGGATGCAGGTTGAGAACCTACAGAGTCAATAACAAAGCCCATTTGGAGACGCTTGCTGACAGTGTTGCAGATCAACGAGGACGCCCACAAACCTTGAACTGCATTCAACGAGTCCATTGATTCCAATTTGATGTCGTGCTAGAACCAGAATCACGAGCGAGTTGGTCGACGCAAGACATGCTGATCAACGGCAAAGCCACGACCTATCGACGCTCGCTTCGAAGCAGAAATCCGGCAGACCGAGATCGATGTGAACACAATAGTCAACCGGGTCACCGAGTGGCCGACCAAAGTCTTTGCGAAGTCGCCTCGTCGCTCGCATTTCATACTGACTTATCATCTTCACCGTACGACCGATGGCCAAGCTCGGCAAATGCCAATTCCTCGAGGTACGAGATGCAACAGACTTTTACGTTTCCACCTCTTAGCGAGCACTGCGGCACTAACTCGACGGCATCGACGCGTTTTTTCGGCAACGTCCGCTGCTATCATGACGGGTCTAAGTTGCAGGTTGCGAAGCGTAGGAAAGATCGGATGGAGATTCGCCATTTGATACAACTGCAGGTACCCGCGACCGATAGCATGTCAAGGCAATCCGTAAGATACGCCTCGTCCGTGTTTGGCAATTGTTTCGTAGCCAGGAGAGCTACTTGAGGATCGTTGCTCGTGGCTCTTACGACTGAGAATGTGACGCGACGTCGGAATGTGTCGGTAGTATCATGCAGTTACGTCGACCGCGTGCCCCAAATACCATTCGTCCGAAAGCCGGGACGACCATCGCGCTTGCTCGCTGTCTTCTGCGTCAATCGTACAGCTACGCATGAGGTCGTGTGTTTGGTAGACGCGATTGGTAAGTTGGTATGTTCACAGATGAGAGTCGCGTCTCATATGGACTCGAAGAAGGTGTTGTTACGACGGCAGCCGCCCGATGTGGTCATTAGGGACAGGTTCGTCTCAGAAAGCCGCCACGCACGTCAAGCAGATCGACGACCAGTCGGGTGGGTCTCCTATGCATGCACTGTACAAGTCAAGACCTTGTGTTCACATACGAATGTGCATGCACGTGAAACTGTGTTGACAGTGCCACTCGTTCGAACCGCATGACGGAAAGATCGAGCAGCAGCACAGCTCTTGTGCTTACCACTTCGCTCTCGGACAGACGATTGCTCGATAGCTGCACAGCTGCGTTCTGCAGCAACTCTGCGTGTGTGATTACGACAGCTTGAGCATTGGTCGAGTCTCAAAGGCCTATGAGTGAGTGCACTACACGTCTTTTGCCGATGCATCTTCTGTAAGAAGGCGGACATCAGTGCCGTCTTGCTGCCAAACACTGCGGCGTACGATACGATGGCCCAAAGCAACAGCGATAGCTGGGCAATTGGCACACGTCGTGCTGCTCAAAGATCGGGTAATTGGTCGTCTACAGAGCTGTCTGACGTCGACCATGCCTTCGATCTCATAACGATGTCGAGGATGGCATTGAGCTTGAATCTGAAGAGACAAACCACGACACTTGAGTGTTGATGTCAAACGTCGGCACATCATCAAGCGATAGGAGACTAGAGGCGCAACTTTCGCTGCATCACGCACGGACCACATGTGTGAAAGAAGCACTACAAAACTGAGATTGTGCTGGATGGTACGATCGTTTGCTGCTACTGGTTCTTTGCCATCGAGCTGTTGTAGAGAACTGCCACATGCAAATCCATCTATTGGTTTGCCATCCGCCACTTGTTCGGTGCCCGACGGACCGGTGGATTCGAAGAGGCGACATGTGCATCGACGCGATGCGTGACGATATCGGATTGAAAGTTTAGCACGCGCTATCTCTTGCTCTTTGATCGCCCCGTGATGCACTCAATGACTTATGTGCTTCCATGCTGCTGATGTCCGTGTGTCCGTCGCAGCGTCTAAATGACCAGATGCACTCGATCGTAGACTCAGCGCTGACCGACTGATACAGCGTGGTGCGATGATCCAGTTAGTGCTGTGTTGCTCAACTGGTGGGACCTTTGTCCAAGACAGTCAATGGCATGCGCCTACAGAAGAAGTCTTGTGTCGGACACCCGCTGTTTCCCACGCATCGTTCGTGCTCCATTCGATGTCGAAACATGGATCAACTTCCCGCTAAAGCGAGCAAGCTCAATGGCCATGTACATTCGTGCCAAAGCTGAGCGTAGTCGGATCGCTTTGGATTTCTCTTCGCCCGATCGACTCGGAATCGACGACTTGACCACAGCCGCTTGCCGCTTGCCAAGCTTTAGCACGGCTCGAGACATTCAATAGGGCACTGGAGAACGTATGTCTGCACGATATCTTGTTAGCTGAGCCTCGACTTTCATAACTCCTCACTGACCTCGAAGTTTGCAACATGGTTAGTATGGGATACAAGTGGAGAGCAGTTTGAGCATTCAGTCGATCGTATGAATAGGAGGCGAGCGGAGAGCGTCAGTCCGCTTCGAGAGCGTAGGCACATCGTCATAGTGCGTGCGCGTTGGCGTGAAAGTCGATCCGATTTGTGTCTAGTTACAGCAACAACAGACCATAGACCGGCAAGACTGAGCACGCGAAAACTCGTAAGTGGCCGTGCGTCAACTGCCCGCCAGCTCAATGACGTAGCAACTTACCAGCTGCCTCGCGGCTATCTCAAGTCTCGACATGCAATGTGTGTATGTGTGGCAAATCGGCCCTTTGCTTTCAGCACAAAGGCCTGCTTCCAGATTTGCGACCTAGTACGCAGACCCAAATACTGGCACGTGGAAGTGTGCCAACACTAATGCGACCTGCCGACGGCAGAGAGATGCACAGCGCTGCATTACCTCTTACGGGGATGCACAGCACGCCTGGGGGCGGTCCTCCCTTACCCGATATCCCCGAGGAGCGAGGGATGGGAGACGGGGGAGGTGACCGTCCGCCTATGCGTCCCGGAGTTGTTGGGGAAGGGCATGGTACGTGCGATCCGGATGTCGTACTTGAGACGATGGGTCGGCGACACTTGCGCGCTGATGCAGTCAGTGGGGTCGGCGACGTTCGCCGACCAAATTTTGAGTCCGTCGCCAACCGAACTCGGACGAAAATCGCCGACCGAACTCGGGCGAAAATCGGCGACCTGACCATGCCGACTTTCTTCAAGCCGGTCCGGTCGATGTTGCCCGCCCAATCTCCGCCGCTGGTGTTGCAGGGACCGGTGCTCCCAGGATCGCAGGGTGGTCCTGCTTCGCGCGGCCACCAGGGCGTGGGTCGCGAAGCCGGACGATGATCTGCGTCCAATGATTCCGCTTGAGGAGGAGGCTCTTGCGGCATGGATGCTGGGGGGCATCATTTTGCCTTCTTCGTCTGCATTTCTATCATGCACGCACCCGCGGGCTACAAGGGTAGTGATGCTTGAATTTTTCGAAGCGTACCTCGAAGGCAAGGTTATTGCGACTGTTCCTCCTTATGTGCGTATGCCTCAATACATCGCGGACAGATCCCAGTGGCCGAGTGGTAGACCACTAAAGCTGGGACCGGGAGGTACCTGGATCGATATCCTGGAGGGGGGTTTGATTACAGGGCGCGGAGATAGGCTAATAAAGTATGACGAGCAACCACCCAATGGGTGGACGCCCTGCCAACCCGCACCGAAGGGTGTGTGATAGTTGGCTGGGCTGGAGGCCCTACTAGCCGAAAAGCCCCATAGTGTAATGAGGGGTGTGGGCCCCTGGCGAGTTCAAACTGAGCCGCGGTACTCGCAGATCACCCCCGGGAGGTCTGAGGGATCACACGGCATAAATCTCAATACATCGCGGAGAAGACGTTGCTTCTACAACTCTTGGAAAGACGCGAAGGGGAGACGGAGCCCGACGGCATGAGTCGGGAACTGGTCAAGGATTCCAAGCGGACTAGTTACGACGCCGACACGAGGCGCCTGACTTTCATTATGCCGGATCAAGCAGCTGCTGCGAGCTGGCATGCCAAGAAAATTCTGTTTCGCGGTAAGCGCCTTCAGATGTTGTGTCCAGCTATACTGGAGCGCGACGACATTACTACTCCATTGCTACCTGCTACTTTACTTAGGAGACACCACTTGCACTATCAAGTCCAGGTCCTAGTCAATGGAGTGGCGGTCAGCTTGGTTCAAGCTATTCTAAATCCAGTGTTTCCTGTGCGGTGAAATCTGTGGCGACTTTCGACGCGGTGTCATGTCCCAAACAACCC